GATGATCATGACGATGCCATAGGAGTGACGGACGATGTGGACAAGGAGAACACAAATCCATCTGTGATGTTTGGAGAATCTCCCAAAGCTGCGGATGAAGAACGAATGATAACAACGCCTATCACAGATGAGAAACTGAACGAAGAACCTGCAATAGACGTGATGGTAAAGGTTAGTGACAAACGATCAGCATACCATAATGCCTTTCACTTCCAGAGTTCTCACAAAAGGAAGCGAGTAGTAGCCAGTTCAGATGAAGAAGACGACACTCCTTTAGAGGAGAGTAAAGAGAAAACACCAGAGCCAGAAGAATCGTCTAAGTCACCACTATCGCTAAAGAAGAAGAAACATCGTGTCATCGTTAGTGACTCGGATGATGAATGATTTTTGGGAATTTCTCTTTGCCTGACAATACTTGTACATAAAATAAATGCCTCTTATATCTTCACTTTTGTCGTATTTGGTTCAGAATATCCATGATATTTATTATTTTTCGAGCAGGTTAGAACATATGGGAGCATAAATGATTGAGCTTCGGTTGTGGATATTTTATAAACCGGCTTCTACGGAGGTGAGAGTAAACACCTTCATAAGAATTCAACGGTGAATGGAATGTTTCGCGTCAGTTGTGTGAGACTGTAGTTGCAGATTGTATTTTTCCCAAGACGTCAAATTGTGCTTTTTCAAAGTTAATTCTGTTTAATTATTTGATTAAGCTTCATGCTTTGCATTGTTTACATACTATCACATATCTGAGGGTACTCATGTGAAAATTGGTCACTTAAAGTCGAACTTTGGTTCTTTATTCTTAATCGAATTGTAGTCTTGCGACATACAGCACATTGATAATTGGTCAGTTTAGACGAGATATATTTTGGATGTCTTCTCCTATTGCGTGATTTGCAAGTAAAAAACTGATTGCAAATAGGGTTGCAGTAGCTGCATCGTCCAAAAACTTTGGAAGATCGTTGTTAGTGAAAACAACGGGGGCGTAAAGTTTGCGTA